GGTTCGTCAGGCCACCCCTGGGAGTGACCCTCTGGGTTCCTCATGGCTGCCACCAGTCCTGTGTGCCTTTGCGCACGTTTTTCCTTCTACGGGAGATTCCTGGACCAGCAAGGGGTGGGGTGAGAGCAAGGGGTGCCTCCACCCCAAATGGGCACCAGCACTTTCCAGCTGCACCTCCACCCCGCCCCAGCGCAGAGGGACATTTAAGTGGAGGCAGGAGCCGGCCACATTCAGGTGGCCATGGGAACAGGTGAGTGGGTGAACTAATTCCTCCAGGTGGTGCAGATGAAGGGACAGGGAGGTCTCCCCAGCCTGGCTGGGAGCAGTCAGCACTCTGCATTCACCCACACAGAACCCGGAGTGAGCACACAGCCGTGCCCCCAAGGGTACCTGTGTTCCGCACCTCCAGCTCCTCACACAGGCCCGCGGGCTGCTACACCACTACACGACGGACAGGTTGAAAAGCCTGGTGGACCTAACCACCACAGTCCACACGGCAGCTGCTGTAGTGGAAAGTGACTGGTATCTGTGTTTACCCTGGGGAGGAGGGACAATGAGGGGGACATCCCAAGACAGGGTGGAGTCTCCTATGGTGTGTGTGCATCTAGACATGTTCTCTCTTCCATTCAGGCTTTCTGATTCCACACTTACAACCTGCGGGTGCATAAATTCATACAGGAGGAAGCCTATGGAAACAGGTACACACTGGGACCCATATATAGTCACACCTAGACACACTGTCATGGTCACAGGCATGGACTCACACTCACACACATGCATTCTCTCTTCCAGGAAGGCCTCCCTGTGCCCTGCTGCCACCTCTCAGACCTCCTGGCACAAATGGCCCCTCCTTCTGTGCCCCATAGGCCCTCTTTTCATATCTCCCCACAACACATTGTGTACCATGATTCTTGGTTTCCATACTTGTGTCTCCCACTGGGCTGTGATGCTTCCGGGGAAGGTCTGTAGCTATACCCCAGCCCTGGTGTCTGAGTGTGACATATTATACGTACTCAGTATATTTATGTCGACCGGCTTCCTGTGCACAGAGGCACCCAGGATGTTTGTAAACAGAAACACTTCCACCTAAAGACACCCATGGTTTCAGCTGTACCACTTTTCTCTCCTTGTGAGGATAGTAACCCTGCCCTACTCACTCCACCGACTGATTGTCTGAAAGTGTTTTATAAAATACTAAGCACATACAAGCGAAGCTATTGTGGAATATTAGGAGGTAACTAGTGATTTAAAAAGCCAGACTTTCTGGCTCTATCATATGCTACCTGTGTGAATTTAAGTGAGTTGCTTAGCCTTTCTGGACCTCAATTTTCTATCTGCAAAATGGGAATATAAAAAGTATGTTATGTTATATCCTATGTTTTTTTCTAAAGATTAACAAGATAATCTGTGTACTAGTAAAGTGCTTAAATTAATGCCAGAACTCATGCTCCATAGTGTTGGCTATTAATATTGTTAATAACATTGTTATTATTCAATATAAATACATATTGAGAGCCAGAAATATATATGAAATTACATGACATAGAAATATATCTAGTATATTCACTCAGTGTGTGTATGTGTGTGTGTGTGTGTGTTGCCTGGACATGGTTGTGGTCACAAACATGGGTTTGCACTCACACATATGCATTTTCTCATACTTTACACAGATTCACTCATTTTATCGTCGCCACAGGCTGTGAGGTGGGTGCTGCTGTTGTCCCAATTTTGCATATAAGGAAACTGAGACATGGAGAAGATGGTAATCTACTCAAGTTCCTATAGCTAATAAATAGGGGGGGGGGGGGGGGTGGTGCCAAGAGTTAGACACAGGTGTTCTAAATTTAGAAACTAAAACCACAATGTCTTCGCTTCTATGGTCATGGCTTCCTTCACAAATACACTCGTGCAGAAGAATTACTCAGCAAGCGATGTGCATGCTCTGAGGGAGAAATAGACAATCATTGAGACCGAAGCTGTATTCCACCTGTTCATGTTTTTCCTCAGGGGAAAAATGTTCCTCTAATATTTCCTGGTAATTCTGAAGGTAGGAGCATATTTCTTGGACTCAACAGATCGTGGGAAGAGGTGCCTTGAATGTTGGTGAGATACTGAGAGAGCATTTTGCACCGGAAAATGGAAAATCCAAGCCTCCACAAGGACTCGATCTGATTTCTTACGATGGAGTTCTAGCAGGACCTTCCAGTGGATCACAGTGAAAACATAGCACCGTCCCTGGGGTTCACCAGGCTGCTGCCCCTTCGTTTATCACATCTGCTCACATTTCCAGGTGCCAGGATGTGATGAGGACCTATTTACTCATAAGACTGTGGCCATGGTGCCTAAGAGCTTTGATCAGTTCTTGAGGTGGGTCCGTGTCTCACCACTGAAAAGCAAATATTGTCCTGTTTCCCTTTGCATACAGTCTCAGGGTGATGCTTGATAGGTTAAAGCACTCTCCTCTCATAAAAACTCTTGCTTGTTAGGTCGGTAGGATTAGGGGTGATTTTTTTTATCCTTTCAAAAATATTCTTTAATGTTGACAGGAAATTCTTTGACAAATAAGCATTTTTTAAAAGGTTACAAAAAGGTCATTTCCAGGAGGAAAAACAAAATATTGTGGAGAGTTCCCTGCATGGGGACATGGGAACAACAAACAAATGGATCAAGAGATGCCAACTTGACAACCTAAACCTGTAAGAAGATGGCCAGATAGCTAACTTGGGTGAATAATCAAGCAGACAAACGTTGTTATGTAGATAAAACGTACGCATCATTAATTAAATACGGCATTATTTTTTCATTCAAGTGAGCAGATAAGGCCTTAAAATAGAAATGGCTCAAGGGGCATTTCAAAGTCATTGTTCAACGTAATGATGTACCTAAAAAAATATTAATGTCCCATGTTGGCCATCAGACTTGACCATGTTTGTGTCTCATTTCTGCAGGGCTGTGAGTTACTAGGGTTAATTTAATAAACTGATCTCTAGTAAGGTAACTGTGGCTAGTAATGCCTCATTACTCTTCCCAGATATCTTGGGGTGCTATTTTTTTTCATGATGTTTTCATGTTTGAATCTAAAGGAGTTTGTGAATTTCAGGTCTGCAAAAATCTTAAGTAAGTGGAGGCTGCCTAAGGAGCTATTTGTACTTCATAGGCTAGGCAGCCCCTGCCTCCACTTCCCTCAACTCAAGGATTTTTATGCACAATTAATGATGGAGACCTTAATCCCAAGCATGTCAAACTTGTGGCTCGTGGGCTGCATGCCTCGTTTATTTGGCCCTTGTTAGCCTTTGAGTTTGACATGCTTGCCTTAGTCCATGGGGTCTTTGACAGGTTTGGTGTCTGTGGTAGGCTGAAAAATAGCCCCCTCCCCAAAAGGTATTCACATCAAATCCCTGGAACCTATGCCTGCTACTTTAAATGGCAAAAGATGTGATTAAGTATCTTGATTAAGTTAAGGGTCATATACTGGTACTAGAGGCCCAGTGCATGAAAATTCATGCACTGGAGGGAGGGAGTCCCTCAGCCCGGCCTGCCCCCTCTCACAGTCCAGGAGCCCTCAGGGGCGGGAGGTGACCCAGTGACCAGGGGAAGGCGACGCCCCAATCACACCTCTGCTGCTGCCACCGCCGGCACCGTAAGCCTTTGCTGGCCCTGGTTACCTGAGCCTTGGGCTGGCCCTGGGTGGCTGGGCAGCCACCATCCAAGGTTTTCCTGTACCTCAGCCAGCCCTGCTTGCCTGAGCCTCAGTCAGTGGGGGGTGCAGGAGGGCCCGAGGCCCTGGTGGGGCTGAGGGGACTGGGCGTTGCCATCT